TTTTGAGTGGTAAGTGATAGGGGTCATGTTTCATTCTTCTGCATGTGGCTATCCAATTCTCCCAGTACAATTTATTGAATAGGGCTTCTTTTCCTTAATGTGCTTTGTTGTCTTCTTTGGCAAAGATCAGTTGGTTGTAGGTACATGGTATTATATATGGGTTCTATCTTTTGTTCCATTAGTCTATGTCTCTGTTTTTGTACCAATACCATGGTGTTTTGGTTACTATAGCCTCGTAATATAGTTTGAAGTTTGGTAATGGGATGCCTCCACATTAGTTCTTTTTGCTTAAGGTTGCTTTGGCTATTTGGGCACTTTTCTGGTTCCAAACAAAGCATAGAATTATTTTTTCAGTATCTATGAAGTATGACTTTGGTAACTTGATGGGGATTGCATTGAATTTGTAAATCACTTTTTGCAGTATGGATGTTTTAACAATGTTGATTTTACCTATCCATGAGCATGATATGTTTTCAATTTGTTTGTATCATCAGCGATTTCTTTCCTCAGAGTTTCCATATTATACTTGTAGAAATCTTTGACCTCCTTGGTTAGGTATATTCCTAGGTATTTTATTTTCTTTGTTGATATTGTGAATGGTATCAAGTCTTTGATTTGACTCTCGGCTTGACTGTTATTAGTGTATAGAAATACTACTGATTTATGTACATCAATTTTGTATTCTGAGACTTTGCTGAATTTATTTACCAATTCCAGGAGATTCTTGGTGGCATCTTTGGGGTTTTCTAGATATGGACCATGTTGTAAGCAAAAAGCTATAGTTTTACCTCTTTTTTCCCAATTTGGATATCCTTGATATTCTTCTCTTGCCTGATTGCTCTGGCTAGGACTTCCAGCACTATGTTGAATAGAAGTGATGACAGTGGACATCCTTGTCTTGTTCCAGTTCTTAATGGGAATGCTTTTAATTTTTCCTCATTGAGGATGATGTTGTTATGAGTTTACCATATATGGTTTTTATAATTCTGAGATATATTCCTTTTATGCCTAGTTTATTGAGGGTTTTTATCATGAAAGAGTTCTTGATATTGTCAAATGCTTTTTCGGCATCTATTGAGATGATCATGTGGTCTTTCTTTTTACTTTTCTTTATGTTGTAAATCACATTTATTGATTTACATATTTTGAGCTATCCTTGCATCCCTGAAATGAAGCCCACTTGAGCCTGATGGATTATTTTTTTGATGTGCTGCTGAATTTGGTTTGCTAATTTTTTATTGAGGATTTTTGTATCTATATTTATAGGGTATATTGGTCTGTAATTTTCTTTTTTTATCGTTTCCTTTCCTGGCTTTGGTATCAAGGTGATACCAGCTTCATAGAATGAATTTGGGAGGGCTCCCTCCTTCTCAATATTACAGAATAGTTTCTGTATTATGGGTATCAGGTCTTCTTTGTAGGCTTGATAGAATTTGGCTGTGAATCTACCTAGTTCAGAGATTTTTTATTGTTGTTGAGAGGTTTTTTACTGCTGGTTTGATCTCAGAATCTCACTGTTCATTATTCGTCTGTTCAGGAGTTCTATTTCTTCCTTCTTGAGTCTTGGGAGGTTGTGTGTTTCCAGGAACTTGTCCATTTCCTCTATGTTCTCTAGTTTATGCATAGAGATTTATGTAATATTCATAGGTGATGTTTTGTATTTCTGTGGTATCAGTTGTAATGTAACTTTTTTTCATTTCTGATTGAGCTTATTTGGGTTCTTTCTCTTCTGTTCTTGGTTAATCTAGCAAAAGGTCTGTCAATTTTGTTTATCTTTTTGAAGAAACAAAATTTTGTTTTGTTAATCCTTTGTATTGATTTTTGTTTTCAAATTCATTTAGTTCTGGTTTAACTGTCATTACTTCCTTTCTTCTACTGGCTTTTGGTTTGGTTTGTTCTTCCTTTTCCAGTTCCTTAAGGTGTGACATTAGGTTGTTAATTTAGGATCTTTCTGTCTTTTTGAATAGTCATTCATCATCAGGTTGTTTAATTTCCATAACTTTGTATAGTTTTTTGTGTTTCCTTTGTGATTGATTTCTAGTGTTATTCTGCTGTGGTCTGAGAAGGTGCATGGTATAATTTTGATTTTTTTTTAATTTGTGGAGACTACTTTTGTGGCATAAGATATGATCAGTCTTGGAGAATGTGCCATATGTTGCTGAGAAGTATGTGTATTTTGTAGTGTTTGGGTAGAAAGTTTTGTAAATATCTGTTAGGTCCATTTGATTTAGAGTTTGGTTTAAGTCATTTATTTATTTATTTATTTTCTGCTTTGATGATTTGTTGAGCTCTGACAGTGAAGTGTTGAGGTCCCTGATGAATATAATGGTGCTATTTATGCCTTTGCTTAACTCTAGCAAGATTTGCTTTATGTATCTGGGAGCTTCTGTCTTGACTGCATATAGTTTAGGATTGTTTTGTCTTCTTATTGGATAGCTTTCTTTACCATTACATAATGATTCTCTTTGTCTTTCTTTACCTTTGTTTACTTTAAGTCAATTTTATCTGATAATATGATGGCTACACCTGCTCTCTTTTGATTTCCGTTTGCATGAAATATTTTTTTTTTTCCATCCTTTTGTGAGTCTGTATGCGTCCTTGTGATTTCTAGGGAAAACTGGTGGGAGGAGAGTCAAGGCAGGTTCTCCAGACTGGGAGGGCTGGTCATGGGGAGGATCCATAAATCATCTCCAGTCCTGATGCTAGATTTTGCTACACTCAATTTCTATGGCACCTCAGGCTGGTATCTTTGTCGTAGTTCTGGCTTTTTTTTACATCATTTTGTCATTTAAAGTATTTTTAACCATAACTTTCTTTCATCATGTTTTCTTGATTTCTTGGCTCACTTAGAAAATCTTCTCAACTCAATGTTTATATAGAAATTCACCAGAACTTTATTATAATTACTTTATTTAAAAAATATATTTACATCATCCCTTATTCATTTTTGTTTTTAAAAGCTACACTCTAAATTTCATTGGTTCAGAATATTGATGGCTATCTTCTTAAACTGCTTCTTCCATTTTAGCTCTGACCTTACGAAAGTCATTTAATTGTAATTTTTGAAACGAAATGGCTGCTTGATGTTTTTAATCAGTAAAGTTGTGGAGGATAATAATACATAAACTCATTAGGATTAAATGAGTTAATACAAATACTTTCAATAGTTCAATAGTTCAAACGTTTTCAATATTTCCAGTAGACTTTAGCAAACTGTCCGTATACCTATCTTTTTTCTCACTACATCATACAGCCCATGGCAGATAAAAGACAGTCAATAAATATTGCTTGTGTTGAATACATTGAGCATAGCATTTTTTTCTAAGCTGTATATTTGATAAATACATGAATCATATAGTGATCCTGTACTAAGAAAGCTTTTTTCAAGTAAAATAAAAATATACTACATAGCTTCTAATGCAATGTCATGATTTTTTTCCTAAAGACAACATTAATTTCTTAAAAATTTTCATTCTGTGTATTCAATTTGCAGACAATACACAAGAGTTCTCTTCAGTCCCTGTATATGTACAAGTTCTTAATATTAATGATCATGCTCCTGAGTTCTCTCAATATTATGAGACTTATGTTTGTGAAAATGCAGATTCTGGTCAGGTAAGAACTACTAATAAATTACCAAATTCCAAACAA